ATAGTAACATATATTTAATATTTTAATATTTTACATTAAGTATAAAATATATATCAATTTATTATTATTATTATTATTATTATTTCTTATTATAAATATTAATAAGAATAAGTTTTATTAAAAAAATTTGTCAATTTCTAATTTCATTTAAACAAGAACTTCATTTTTAAGTTAAAAAAACTTTTAAATGATACATTATACAATCAATAATTTTATTTAAAATTAATTTTTTATGATATATTTTGATTCAAACAATTTGAGAATAATTTTCTTGATCCAATTTTAAGATTTTCTATATCATTCTGTAGAATATGTTTTTGTTGAATTTGATTATGAAGAATATTTTCAAGTGTAATTAAGTCAGTCTTATGTTCAAGTTCTATTTCTAACATATCTTTCTGTAAAGAAAAATATTGATTATTTAACTCACATAATTTCTAATTGATTAAGAATTAATGATGTTAGAACTTCATTATGAAAAACTAAAAATTTGTTTATTTTTATATTTCTTCATAGTATTTGACAAACAGAATTCAAAAACAGCTTTTAAATTCAAGTAATCATTATAAGTATTTACAAATATTAATAGTTAATAGATATATTATTAATAGTCTATTTTATTAATAAATTATATTGCTAAATAAATCAATATTTAAAATCATGAATTTTGCATAATAATTCTAAAATTTAATTCTATCTTGTCAAAATTATTTATTTGCAATTATTGTCAACAAATTGTAAATAAAGTTAATATAACTTCAAAATTATATGATAAGCTCTTTTAAACATAAATAATTTTTAATATTAAGTAAATAAAAAAAATTTTTGGTTTTCCAAGATAAAGTTTTATTAGATGGACTATTTAATGTAATTACATTAATTATTCTCATTATTAATATATTGATAAATTTTTTATTATAAATGTTAAAATTTTGAAGAATCTTCAAGATAATGAAATTTGATTTATTCTGTATATTTTTGTAAATAAATTTTCAAGATCATTTTTAATTTTTTTTTATATGATTTTTTTTTTTATATAATTCTTTTACTTAAAAAAAAGATGTTTTTAAATTTATTGAATTAATTCATCTTATTAATTAATAAATGAAAATATTATAGGATATATATGAAAAAATTGAATTTGAAAATTTAAAAAAAATATAAAAATATATGATATTATTATCTTAAACATTTTTTGAAATTATTAATAATAAATAATTTATTATTTATAGTAAAAAAATTTTGATTAATTAATAATAAAAATAAATAATAATCATGTTAAATAGTCCATATTATATATGAATAAGCAGATTTAATAAAATATTTTACTTCTGAAATTAAAGTTTGTTTTAAAATTTTTTTAAGTTTGAAGTTTTCTTTTTCTAATATTGTTAAAAAACTTAATTTTTCAGTATTATATTGAATTAAATTTTCTAAGGTAATTAAACTTTCTTTATATTTCCATTTTGTATCTGAAAGATTATAATAATAGAAGTGTATATGTTTTCATTAAAATAATTTTATAAAATAGTAAACATTATAAAATTTACTTTCTATATCCTTAGTAAAATTCTTCATAATTTTGCGCACATCAATTTTAGTATCATAAATTAATCTCTGTAAAATAATTTCATAAAGTTCAATCAAAGATACTTTACAGCCAAATTTTTGTATCATCTTTTCTTTGATTTCTTCTTTTAATTTTTTGTTTTGAGCTTTCATATATTTTAGGTCCAATTTTATTCGTTTTAAATGTATTTCATTTTTTCTGTAATAAATCATAAATTTTCTTTTACAAATTTTTCTATTTTTCTATTTTATTTCTTTTTATTGTACTTGCGTGTTTCTTCTAAGTTGTATGTTTCCTCTTGCAATTCTCCTACTCTAGCATATAAATTTGATAATTTTTTTTTATTAAAAACTATACAATCTTCAATGTTTGCAATAGATCCAGAATCTAATATATGCTGTAACTGATGAAGTTTCAATATAACTGTTACATTAATTTCATTTAATTTTTTTTGTTTATCCAACTATAATAAATAAAAAATAAAATGCATTTATACATTATATATGATAGGATATCTTTGAAAATATATTCAAATATTGAAAATACCATAAATTTTTCCAATTCTTCCTGATGACTTTTTAAAATACTTTCAACGATTTTTAAATATTTTGTATCGGTATCCAATTCTTTTTGCAAAAGTTCTATTTCTTTTTGTTCTTCTCTGATTTGGAATTCATATGCATATCGTTTTTCTCTCATAGCAAATGCCATTTCATATAATTGTATATCACATCCCACTGGACATATATTTTCATCAAATGGAACATATTCAGCTTCAGAATCTATGTCATCATCTGTTTCTTCATCAGTAGTTTCTGTTGATTCTGTAACTGAATCTAAAGAAGCTAAAAATTATAATTTTAATATAATTAACTATTCTTTAATAACTGAAAAATATATCCTTAAATTTAATTAAAAATATATTCATAATGAAAGTAATAGAATTTAATACCATTTGCTTTTTTTATTGTATATTTTTTTTTAAATATTTTTTGAAGAAAATTATGAAATTTACTATCAACTGTAGTTTTTGCAAATTCAGTAGCAATATCTTTAATTTTTGTATACAATTTTCGAATTTCTTCTTCTCGTGTAGTAATATTAATATTTGTACCTTGCATCTATTGTATATTAATATAATATTGTTAATAAATAAAAATATAATTAAAAGTTAATTTTTTTATTAGAAGAATAATAACCTTTGACACCAGTGTAGTATGTTCATTTGATTTCTGAGTAACTTTTTCTTCAAGTAAATGTTCCATTGTTTCAGATTCTCTCAAAATAATAAATTCTTCATATAAAGTTAACAAATTCAAATTCATATATATACTTTGATATATAACATTTAATCTATATTTTTCTAACTCATCTAATTCATTTTCCAGTTGTTTATATTCAGTATTGATATGTTGTAAAATACAATCTTGTTGATATATTTTTCGCCACATTCGAGAACGTTTCATTTCACGTTCCCAACTAGTTTGAACGGAATCATTTACATTAAGATTTTTAATTAAATCATATGCTATAGATGATTGATCTCTTATTTTTATTGTTGAAGAAGAAATAAGAGAATGAAGAAGGTCTTGCTCTTCATGATTATTTTTGTCATCACAATATAATACTTCATATTCTAAATCAGAATAATCTATTAATTGATCTACAATCAATGATTGTTTTTCACGTTTTACTTGTTGCATCTTTTCTGACATAGATATATATTTTTCAAGCTATAATGATTATTATAAAGTTATAAGAAATAATCCTATATAATTTTATTTAATTATGCTTAATTATTAATTAAATATAATTAACCTCAAGATTATGTTCAGGAAATTCAATATCAAGATTCACTTTTGGTGGATATGGTAAAGGTTTTACATTTTTCAATGGAATTTCTATATGAATTTTTTTAAGAGTTTCTATTAGTTTACCAAATTCTTCTTGCATTCTTTGTTTTTTTAATGCAATTGTTTTCAACTTCATATTGAAATTCTCTCGCAAATTATGAAGCTATAAATTAAGAAAAATAATTATTTTTAAAATTATTTTAATAGTGAATTCTTTATCATTTTTACCTTATTTCTACAATCCATAAGTTGTTTAAATTTTATAGCTGCAGTTTCTCTTTTTCTTGTCAAGCTAAAATCTACATCCACTTTTAAATTATATTCACCAATGGTTTGTTTTGCCTTTTCAAGAAAAACTGTATCTTTTAAACGACCTTTAATTAAATTTGGCTTTTTTCTATATAATTTTTGCCACTGTATATATAATATACTTTTAAAAAAATAATAGTTATTATTTTTAATGTAATTTTTTTATTTCAATTTATTTACTTCTTTCTGCCGTTCCATTAATCTAATTTTTTTCTCCTTATATTTTGAAAACATTTGATTAATTTGTAATCCTAATCCTGATGTTAAATCTCTAAAATCTTCACCTAAGAGTTCTACATATTGTATTTCTCTTTCTTCTACTTCACGTTTTTCTTCCTCAAT